TGAGTGTCCGAGTCCCACTGGACCCAAATGAAGTCCTCTGCCACTCTCTCTCTGCTCAGACGCTCAGGATTCTGCATAACCTGTTTGAACAAGTACATGTGTTTTTACCATTCATATGAACATCATTCGGTTTTTATAAATCCTTATATCATAAAAATATAAAGAGCAGCCCTTACCACTCTGTAGCCCTCCTGCCTCGTCAGAGTAATGTGGTACTGATCCACATCTGTAACAACAAAATAACCATTCATGATAAATTACAATAAATATATTCAAACTAGTAGTAGCTTGAACAAAATATGGTATAGTGCAATGGACAAAAAAAGCATATTGATGGTTTCTGGAATATTTCCACAATACATACAGCCATCCTCTGCCGCCAACAGCAAATGACTCTCCAGTACGGTGGTCCGGCATGTCTTAGGATAAAGAAACTAGAAAGGGGTCATGGGAAATAACAGACTATTTCAGTGTGATTTATGCAGGACTTTCATAAGGAATTCTGTATTGTGTGTTTCATCACCAGCTTCACATAACAGCTTTTCATTACTTGCACTTTGACTTTGCAGTCCACCGCCTTCAGGACCTTTGTGTTGTTGATTGGGTGTATCTCAATGAGAAGAGTTAAACATTTTGACACTAAAGAAGAAAGAAAACAGAATTATGTCAGGAGTTAAAGAATAACCTAGACAGCGTGACTGCGAGCCTGTGCTAAGCTCATTTATATACATTTAGATTCTCTATTTTGTGAACGCACTTTTATTTAATTGTATTATGATAGGCAACCTAGTATAAATATTATGCCTCTTGAATTTAAAACAAAAACAAACCAAACAATAATTAGGCCTACAGTTAAACTCTTTGTATGTATCTGGTGACAGAATTAGGATTTCTTTAAGACACAAAGGAGAAATCTTTATGCAACATTTATTTTATCAACTTCACTATGATGCTACCACAGCAACCCATATGAGAAGTGAAAGCATATTGGTAAAAAAAAATTGCAAAGAAACTTCTTCACCCTCAAATGGTTCAACCATAAAAATATTTCAGAAACAGGAACCTGTGACAATCATGCCATAGAGGCAAATAAAACTATGTTAAATTGTAACTAATAACTGAAAATTACGACAGTTGATATAGTGGTGTTCAGTCAAATTTATTCAGTTGTCCGTTTGAATAAACACAAACATTTCTCAATGTCTCACAAAACTGATTATTATTATTATTATTATATGAATAAAAGGGCTAAAAGAGGGCTTGAATTTAAATTTAGGAGTGCATTAAAAAAACTTAAACGGTGCAATGAAAATTAATCAAATAATGTGTTTTTCTCAATAAAGGGATACAATGAGACATTTACAGGCAAAATGAATGTATTAAAATGTAAAAAGTAATCTAGGTTTTTAAATATTTCTGCTTAAACTGTATTTAATAATAATGTAATTATTTATAGGCCTACTTTAAACTGTGTTTGTGTGTGTGTGTATATATATATATATATATTGCATTTACAATTACAGTTAGCAGCACTCCTATTTATTTAATGTAATCATAGCCTTTGAAGTTTAATAATCACTGGTTGTATGGTGATTCCTGTTTTTCATCCCCAAATGTAATACTTATTAAAATGATTAATAAGACCTTTTATATACCATTTAAGATATTTATTATGACTTTTTATGACCTTAAATCTTATTAAAAAATGTATTTTTAGACTTTTTATAGACCTGTGGAGACTTCACACATGCTCCTAAATACATTCTAGTTCGCTCACATCTATTTTTATTCAATGTGAGTAAAATGCTTGCACTGTTGAGCCCTGCAGTGAATAACAATTAAAACAGTAAATAATATATTGTTATGAATGATGTCTTGTACCTGGTTTAAGGCGGCCTTCTCCCTGTGTGGACTGAGATAGGCTGACCGCTAGCACAGGAAAAAAAATCTCACATTAGTAATCATCTTCTCAAACCCATAATGAACCAAATTAAACACTATTACCCATACAATGATGCTGCTTGTATGCTAAAAATAAATGATATTGGCCTGTAGTCTCACCCAGCAGTGTTTCTTCTTTATTTAAAGAGCAGCTGCTGACACACACTTGCTTGTCAAAAGTGTAGAGGAGCTGTGAACACAAGAGGCACGCGGTTACACAAACATTTCATGGTTCAATTCATTAAGACTGAAAGTGATGCACAATTCTCACATTTATTTTAATACACAACTCCAAGTTGTCATTTTTGACTGTAAATTTATATTCTGTTTATAATAAGGTGTATATGATTGGAATTACATATCCATAGGCCCAATGTTCATCTCCAACATGGTTACCCATTCTGTACCTTATTCTCTGTACTGTGAGGATCATATTTCCCAATCCTTGTAGTTCCTGTTGCCCCCTAAACATAAGGATTGGCAAATCAGTAAGTTTAAAAAAAGAACTTTTAAAAGATCAAAAGAAGCAGAAAGGATAACGAGAAGTGAACACAGTGACATCCATTCAGTTTGCATGTAAGCCATTTACTATAGCGTCTATTGTATGCAGTGTTGCCAACTAATTTTCGGAGAAAGTTGCTAAAGGATGGGTCGATTTGTTGCTAAAAGTTGCTAAATGACGTTTGCGCAATGATGCCATTGCGTAATCACGACGCAAAATTGTCACATCATCAAATCTCAGCAAAAAAATTGATTTTAATATATGTTCATTTAGATTTGTTTGTAAAATAATATGCATGACATGATATTAAAATATAAATAACTGTGTTTTTAAATACGTTGAATTATTGAAAACGTACACACTTTTGAATGATTTCTATTAAAGTTGATTTAGTAGCTAGTAAACTAGTAATTCTACACATTCTCAACTAATATGCTTTAAGCAGTGTATTAGTAGTTAGTTAGTATGCTACACTCTAAGAAAAGTCTGTAAAAATAAGGCACAATCTACTATGTTAATATGAAAGAATTTTCCGTAATGGTTTTAAATGACGCATTGTGTTTTCGGGTTACAATGGATAATGTCCTGAAAGATTGTCCATTTTTCTTACAGTATCCTAACTGATCAACAATCGCAGATCCAAGCTACTAGCAAAGTGTATCATAAATAAACAATTATTCAATTATCAAATTATTATTATTAAATTGAACAATTGCAAATAGCAGCTAACTCAATTCACGTGATGCGTGTACTGCTAGGCATCTGTGGTTTCCTCTTTTTGTGTCATTTGGATGGAAAATGTGTGCCTTTACATTGTCTGAGAGTCACTTATCAAAAGTTGCTAAAGGTTGCCAAATCAATTTTTAAAATTGCTAGGTGCTTTTGGAAGAAAAAGTTGCTAAGGTAGTCTGAAAAGTTGCTAGGGTAGTCTGAAAAGTTGCTAAATTGGCAACACTGATTGTATGTAAGGCATGTAGTGCTCATTTGCTCTAGACTGGCGACAGATTGTCCCTGCGCGCGTCATTTGCGCTGCTATGAATGGAACGTCGCGCGCATGACCTGTCAAATTAAAGTGACGCATGAAACACAAGCCAAACTTACTCTCCAAGAGTACACGACCCCTCCATCTTTCTCCACACTCAGAATGCGAGGCTCAAGAACACCTGCACACATTTTAAACAAGTACATTTATAGCAACAATAAGAGCATGCACTCTGCGACGTATTAACAATACCAGCAAAAATACAGTTGGGTTAATATCATTAATAATTATGTAATTATTAAATAAACAATAATATAGCAAGTCCGCATAAGTTACCTATATTCGCTCTTTCCTCCTTCGCCAAAATGCTTGCCACAACATCTTTTTGAGTGTCGAAAGTGGGGTTTAATCTCAACATGTGTGATCTGTCCTGCACAGATTGAACTAGACCTGAGATTGAGGAAGTGACCTGATTTCACTCCTCGGCAGTGTCATTTACGGCATACAAACTTTCTGGCTAAACACACGCTTTAGTAAAAATTGCATATTAAATCTTACAAGTCGCTCCACTTTATCGATGTGCCGAACACAGACAGTGCGCTAAATATCATTAGAAATGTATTACTACTAGAACGAATCGTTCGTTTGAACCGGCTCTTTAAAATGAATCGGTCGAACTGCGTCGAACTTTAGGGAGTTGGAAATGATCGAGCTGACTGACCCTGTGACCTAAAAAACCATCACGATCGATCACATTCGACTCGAAATGAACCGAAAGTCCGTGAATCTGCCGATCCCGACATCACTTGCGGTGTTTACAAAAGAGCTGCCATATGAGCACGAAGGCGGATCCAAAACACAGTTGAGCCAATCAGAGATCACACTCTGTGAAATGTTACTGTATGAGGAATTATGTGTATACATATATTTTTTTATTGCATTCATTATATATTATAACTGGAAATGTATATTCATTTAGAAAAATGTCGATCTATTTGTATATTTAAATGATTGCATTTAAATCTAACATATATTAAAATAAATACTTTGGTTAAACGTTTTCAAAGCAGCATCGAGTAAACTACTGAAAAAGTCCATTTTCTCTAACTCCTAAATTTGCTGTGCTGATCAGTACTAGGTCTCTTGTTAACTTGTAGTTATAGAAATCACCACTAGAGAGGGTGCTTGACTTTCCCTCGACTTGTACAAATTGGTCTGTGAAAACTTTCAATATTTTTAACATTTATTTCTTGCTTTTACATTTTTACATCAAGTAAACCGATAACAAAGCAACAAAAAGCACCTCCCCAGCACCAATCTTTTACACATAAGCTACAGGATTTGCTCTTTTCAGCCTATGTGGCCAGTACTGTGTAGTCATGCACGACAGCAGGCGCCCAGTCACTAAATATCCTCAACAATTAAGACAGCTTGTAAGAAACTATTCAATTTGGATGAAAATCGGAATGCTGTATGTTACTGGCTGCGATTGTGTCATACTCGATATACAAAAACGCCTAAACTTCTACAATAACAGCCATACACTGGAAGTTCACTTACCAATTTTTGTTCGTACTAACCTATCAACATCTCGTACATTATCACTCCAAGAGACCACCAGTCACAAAGCTTGTTGTAGCCCGTCTGCATGAAGACCTCAGGGGCGATATAGTCTGGTGTCCCGACGGTTGAATATGCCTGTATATGAAAGGAATGAAATCACTACTACTACCAGGAAATTTCTGTTTTGTAACATAAAGAAACGCTCTCCTACCAGCTGTCTTCGGTTCTTTTTCCATGTTTCTGCTTTCCGTTTTGAATTCATGTTTTGGAAAGCTAAAGGAGATGGAAACAGAGCAAATATGGTTCATTTTGTCTGGTTAATTACATAAAAAAAAAAAAAATGTTTTGCCTACAGATCCACTTAAAACGTCGATGTTAAGTTTTCTGCGCCACAGTCAGACTGAAAAGATCAGGGACCTTTTTGTAATAATCTTCAGCTGATGGCTTCTATATTTGTAATTCTTCGTAAAGATATGCAGAGCAGTATGTGCTTACACACAGCCAGAAACAGCAAGGACTTGCTGGACTTTTTTCCTTATTGGTAATCCTATCCTATTTCTGTTATGTCAGTGTGACTGGGAAGGAAAATGTTCTGAATATGTACAGCAAGTCATAGTCAAGGAAAATTGATTTCTTATGATATGACTTCTTTATTTTTTTGTATGTATTAACAAGTGTTGTTTCTCTGTGTAATTTGTGTATGTGGGTTACTCACAGAAGTCACTGGGAGGGTTGTGCGTGAGGTTCCTGTAAAATTCAGTCCGATGGGCCTTCTTCAAGCCTGTGCAGAGGCCAAAGTCAGACAGTTTGACATGGCCCTACAAATCATAAAGACAGAATGTTATGAGGTGTTCAGTTTCATACAGTACAATAGCCTTCCATAAACCCATTCATCTCCGTTGAACACTGTGACCATGTTATATTGTTTTGTGTGTGAGTAAATAAGAGATAAAGGCGAATTCCCACCCGTGAGTCGAGCAGCAGGTTGTCAGGTTTGATGTCTCTGTGAATGAAGCCCAGCTGGTGAATTGAGTCAATGGCCAGGACAGTCTCTGCAATATAGAACTGCGTAGCTTCTTCCGACAGCGTGTCTTTCTTCATCAGCAGAGTCATCATATCTCCTGAAAACACACACACACACACACACACAAGAGTTACGGCCCCTGGGCAGCTGCTCTAAAAACAGGAATTTCCATAGTGCTGCTACGAGCAGACTGCCTTTTCCAGTTCTAAATCCCTAACTGCTACATCAGTAAAGAACATGTGACATTTTGTTCATCTGTCTTCACCTCCAGGCAGAAACTCCATGATGAGATACAGATTGCGTTTATCTTGAAAGCTGTAGAACATCTTCACTACCCAGGCGCCATCAGCCTCCACCAGGATATCTCTCTCGGCCCGGATATGAGCCACCTGCCCCAGGGAGGAATACAGGTGAGGAGAGATATTATCAGTGGATCGGTATGACAGACAGGGGACTATCTGAGATGGCTGAATTAAATGTAATCGAGTCTATACCTGCTCTTTCTCTAACATGTCTGATTTCCTGAGGATCTTCATGGCATAAATGTGACCGGTGTCTTTTTTCTGAACCAGGCGCACCTGAATACAGCACAAAATGAAAATTTTTGGAGAACCGACTGAGATTGAAATGAAATGTAAAAAAAACAAAAAGAGAGAATTGTTAATTGTAAAAAATTAAAATTAAAATATTGAAATGTGGCCTTGGAAACTAACTGAAATAAGTTGAAGTACGAAAATAAAAATATTTAGAAATATTAAAAAAAAAAAATTAATGATTAAATCTTTTAAACTAAAATTAAAATGATAACTGAAAATATGTAAATAAAGGAATTCAAAATATATATAAAAAAAAATGTATACAAAAGTATATAAACAAAACAAAAATAACATTGTTATAAACACACAATGGTCATTTCAAATCCCCGAGAGCTGCCTAACTAGACAACATCTTAAAGCAGTACAGGCATCTCCTAAAGGTAGGCAATGACATTATGATGTCTCCTAATATTTTACAAGACAGTTTTCCATTGTACTTCATGGAAAAGGCAATCCTAGAATGCACTGCACAAGGCATCCACGATAGAAGAATAGTTGAGAGAAAGATTATAAACATACTTAGTTATTAGTTAACTGAATAATGACAAATCCATATAAAACAGGGCTATGTTTATTAGAGTATCGTGTTGTTGATTATTACAATCAACTGTGAGTTGCGTCTCCATGAGGAAGCATTATTTATGTGGCTTGCTAATGAAGAGCATTATATAACGATCATTTATGAGCTTTCATTTCAGCTAGTATAATGGTTGACGTCTATAGACACACCTCTCCAAATGCTCCTCTCCCGATCACTTTGAGGGACTCAAAGTCATCGAGACCAAGACGGGTCCTCTTGAGCCGCAGAAACTCGGTCTCCTTACGAGCGTGCAGAGAGCGCCTCATACTCTTCTACAGCAAAAATACAAACTACTCAGGAAAATATTTTGAATCAAATGCAACATCACTGGCATACTCGAAGCAGGGTACTAAGCACAAAGCACACAGTCTGAGTCTTATTCAAACCACTTCTCAGATAAGCAAAACAGGTTTTTTTGTTGACATTTCTGTGATTATTAACTCAGGCAGTGAGGTAGCTCTAAGGTCAGTATATCTTCTCTGAGGGCATCTCACCTCTTCATCAGGTAAACCCTCCTCATCCATCACCAACTCCAGCTTCTTCTGCCTGAAACAGAGGGAACAGCTGCATCATGACCAGCCACAACAAATCCGCTTTATTCTAATCAACTAATACTTGACTGAAACGATACGTTGAGTGATGCAGGTGTAGTGGGTTGTAGTGTTGCTATGGTTACCGCATCTCCCGCTCCTCGTGCTGGGTGAGCAGGGTGCTGTAGAAGTGCTCCAGCGTGAGTTTGGCCACCGTGACTCTCTCACGTGTATGGTTACTCATCGGGAGAGGCGCTGCCATGCCACCCGTCATGGCCATGCTAGTCTAGAACAGGAAAATCATTTGCAAAGCAAAGCTCTCTGAATATAAATGAACGCAAATACACCAGTGAGCCTTACTACCAAACAAACCACATGTACAGTATGTCTACATTTTAATAATTACAACGATAATTGATTAATCAGTATTTATTATAAATGATATTATTTTTTAGATAACATTATTAATAATAATCATCACAGCACCATCACAGTGACCAGCAATAATAAAAATATAACATTGAATGTTTTTATTGTCATTATACCATGTACAGTGAAATTAGAGTGGCTTGCCTTTAACATATATCACATAATATACTACAGCAAAACATTAAAAAGTGGAATTGCACTAACACTACAAAAATAAAGAGTTATATTGTACAATAATAGTGTATTGGACCAAGTCTTGGCTTTTTTCTTTTGAACATTGAATGCTTTTATTGTCATTATACCTTGTACAATAGCAAAATAATTAATCATAATTATAAGATTTATTTTTAATTAATTATTTTATCAATTGAATTTTTAGTTAATTAGGGTTATTGTAGGTAACTACAACTAAAACAATAAAAGTACATTTTTGCTACTTGAAATAAAATAAACATGAACTGAAAATAAAATATAAATAGATAAACTTAATAAGTTTATTTTATTTCAACTAGTTTCCATGGTAACATTTTCTCACTTTTGATTAACCAAACTTGATGAACCAAAACAACTAAAAACAAAACCTGAAATTAATTTTACAAAGATTATAAAAAAAACTAGGATTATAAAAACTAAGAGTAAAAACTATAATGTAACGATAGTAAAAAAAAAATATAGCTGCAAGCAGCAATTACCGGGGTTCAAGCATATGAAGGCATTGAAGGTGGTTTATTGTAGGGTCTAGGCCAACATGGATGTATGGCTGACAGTAAAACACATCCAAAATGTAGAATATGCTCACACACACACACACACACTGAAATTAAATGATTAAACTAGTTTATTAATACTCAATAAGCTTACTTAAACATACAGACACAGAGACACACACACATACACAGTTATACATGCACACACATTTTGTTTTAGATATAGATATTTTAAATAATTGATAGGTGAAACAAAACTTATTGCAAGTCTTCTCTTTTTAAGAGTGTATAGACTAAAAACAAAACCTGAAATTAATTTTAAAAAGATTATAAAAAAAACTAGGATTATAAAAACTAAGAGTAAAAACTATAATGTAACGATAGTAAAAAAAAAAAAGAAAAAAAAAAAGTGGCCAAATAGTTCATTAATTACTGGTAGGCGAGTCTCTCTAATTGGAGAGAAAATAAAAACCCGAAGCAGAGTTTCAAATGAGTGATTTCAGAACTCTTTGAGTCGAATGAAGAAATCCATTGTGTACTCCGTTCCATTCATATACGGTGTTCCAGGCCGGGTTTTAGTATGTGCGTTGCTGCTTGGATACACGCAAAACTGGACGTTTTGGCTTCTTTTAAACCATTTCCAACTAATTGACGAATTTTTGCCTGAAAAGTAAGTTACTCGAGATTCATTTCTTGTTTAAAGAACTGTCTTTTAAGCAGTATCATGGAAGCAAGAGTGTTGTTGTTGTTCTGAAATACTGCCGATAACAGTCACAATCTGCCTGAATCACCACCAACAGTAAATTACTATCAGGAATCTGATTAATTACAAACACCCTGCGGGCAATAACAGAAAGAAAGAAGAGAGAGAGATTAGTTAATGGCATGTATAGTAATAGTTAATGGAGTCTAGTTAATGGCATTCTTATTACAGGCCATGTTTAATAAAAAGAAACGGTTATTCAGAACAAAATGACCGTTTTTAAACATTTCAGTAATGTAGATATAGGTTAGGAGAGCGTTTGGTGCTGAGTAGACACTCGTGGTAACCATAGCAATATATACTGTAAGACTG